GAGTTTGTTGTTGTTGTTGTGGTGGTGGTGTCTTTGTCTGCCTTTGATATTAGACTAATGCTGTCCCCATATACTGTGTTAGGAAGCATTCTTTTATTTTCTATTTTTGGAGAGATTTTGAAGGTGATTGGTGTTAATTCTTCTCGAAGTAGAATTCACCACTGGAGCTGTCTTTTCTTTGTTGTGATGTTTTTGATTGCTCATTGAATCTCTTTACTTAGAGATTTTGTATTGCTTTTTCAGTCAGGTTTGTTCATTCGTGTCTTTTCTTTTCCCTAGGAAATATATCCATCTTATCAAGATTACCTAATTTGTTGGTGCACTATTGTCATATTGTGGTCTTAAAATCCTTTTAATTTCTGTAAGGTTAGTAGTAATATTCCCACCTTTACTTCTGATTTTAGTATTTGAGCATTCTCTCGTTTTTATTAATATAGCTAAGGTCTGCCAATTTTGCCAACATTTTCAAAGAACAAACTTTTAGTTTTGTCGACATACTCTCTCTTTTTTTTTTTTTGGATTCTCTACTTTTTTCATCTCTGTTCTAATTTTTATTATTCTCTTCCCACCACTGGGTTTGGACTTAGTTTGTCCTTGCATAACTTTTTATTAAAGTATATTGTTGTAATTCATTTTTTTTTAGTTATTGTTGTTAATCTCTTGCTGTATCTAATTTATAAATTAATCTTTACCAAGAGTATGTATGCTAGAAAAACCACAGTATACGCAGGGTTTGGTACTATGCATAGTTTCAGGCATCTGCTGAGGGTTGTGGAACTTATCCGCCATTGATAAGGACATATTGTAACCATGAGGAAATGAGATCAGCACAATGTGGACATTTGCAACACACCATAAGAAAATGATGGAAGTGAAGCTTTCTAGAACTCTTCCATGCATTAACAGGTGACACTATGCATCAATATATCATATGTACTTCGTACTGCAAACTGTGGATCATTATTCTAAAGGAACTTTCTACAAAATCCTACTATGTGACCTACATTTAATTGCTAGATTTGGTGTCGGTATTTGCTTCTTAAATACAAAGCTTTTAAAAGATCAGAAGTTTTGCATTTTTCTGTATAAATCAATTTCGAGTTATGAAAACTATCAACTTCTTCACTGGGCTCGAAAAGTTAAATAAGAAATGCATTTGAAAAATAACGTCGATAGTGCCATATTAACTCCTTGCATTGTGCTGTGATACCACAGAATAGAACAAACAGATCACAGTGATGCAAGGAAAACAAGATGACAGCAGAACAACAGACGGACGTGATCCATCCAAATTAAGTTCGATTTGGCAGATGTATTCAGGTTTCAATTTCATTCTTAATTTAGTTTTTACTTTTACATATGGGAATATACATTTTAAAAGAAAAACCCCTCTCTTTACCTTCTTCTTCATCCTCTCCTCTTCTCCCTCCCTTATTCCCAAGGTCCACAGTGCTTACTTAGTTCTTTCCAAAGCTGTCCCAAACTGTCTGCAAACACATTGTGCTATTAATCCCACTCAACTTGCTTGTAATTTTAAATCTTTACCTTATTTCTTGAGGTTATTTACAGTTTAGATCATGTTTATAGTTAGTGGTATGATTTCGAAGCAAGCTTGTTCCTTCAGTACTGTAATAATGGAAGACCTTTTCCAAGATGAAAAAAAATGGTGTGCTATGACACAGGCAAAGACTTGGAACGAAAGCAAAGTACCAACCAAGGCCACGCTGGGCCCTTGTATTCTACGTTGGAGGGGCAGGTTTCCTGCTTTCTAGCAACGCAACCCAGCCTGAGTACTTGCTTTACCTAATTACTCATCAGAAACCCCTCTCTCTTCCGTATCTTAAAAGTTAGTTTCTTGACCTCTTCTTCTTAAGAGTTATGAAGAAGAAAAGGTTGAAGGAATTTAAGCTTCATGAACTTGAATAAGATACCCAAAACTTTAGAGTCTTTATTGTCTCTTTAAACTTTATTTAGTCTTTATTTTAAATTTGACCAGACAGAAACAGAGTGAGACACATGCCACATGCACACAGAGAGAGAGAGAGAGAGAAAGAGAGAGAGAGAGAGAGAAGTAAGCCGCCAGCTATGGGACTCGAACCGCGGTCAGCTACGTGGGAGTCCAGCAACCTTAACCATCACGCCATCTGCCGGCCCTTTGTTGTCTCTTTAAAAGGGAGATGCGGTGCCACCCCATGGCATGACGGGTAAGGTGGTTGGATGCCGAGTGGCAGGCTGCACAGTTTGTGTCCCAGACCCATCAGCGTGAGGAAAACACCACACGTGTAGATGCATCACCCTCCTGCCCAATAAGGGGGAGATCAGATCATTTACCGCATGGGCAAAAACGAAGTAAAGAAGTATGGAACACACCTCTCCGCGTGCTGCTGGACTGTCCCTGTAACGGTCATGTACTAATGGCGAGGGGGCTGACTCACTCCTCTCCCAGGTACCGAATCCCTTCTTTCGCCTTCGAATCTGGTGCATCCCCAGCTCCTTCCCGGCCTCACTTCCTATTCTCACTTCAACCTCGTTTTACTCTAAAGCAATTTTTCTCATTTAATTCATTAGTGTAATGTTCTACTTTTCAAGTTTACTCAACACCTTTTAGACATTTTTTATATACATTTGATACTAGACACCCAAAACAGCTGTGTGTGAGAGAGAGGGAGAGAGAGAGAGAGAGAGACACAGAGATTGAAATTCGACGATTTCCCCTTTTAGAACATTGCTGCCTCCTAGTTTCTGCTTTAATTTTATGATCCATCCAATGCCTTTTTATTCCCTAAATTCTGCAATTTTAATATTTTTATTGATTCCATCATCTGTTCTCGCCCACCTAATTTATTCATGAGATAAATTTATTTTTGCAAGTTCTATTATCTGTCAGTGGTTCTCATATTTATCAACAGGCCCTGCGATTCATCGGTGTTCCATATACTTGTTTCCGTTTGTCCACTGTGTTCGTCAAACGGATATTCCAGGTAACTTCAAAATCTATTCCCTCAAACCACATTAACATGAACTTTTCCTACTTTTCCTCTTTCTTCCTTTGCTTTTATTAATGGCAATATTATCCATTTAATGTATCCAAGAGAAAAATAAAACTAAATATTATCAGAAATTATACTGTGTTCTGTAGTTGCTATATATGTTTATCAACTCCCTGTCTCTTTTCGTTTGTTGTCCTGGTCTCCTTTTAGAATAAACTATTCATATCTCACCCACACTACGTCAGTAGCCTCCTAAGGTTTCTTCCTACTAATCACTGCCCTCCTCCAATTTATTCTCTGCAAAAAGAACATAGAGTTCAAATATACACATAGGGTCAAATTAATAATGAAAAGAACAGTTCTAATTACCCAAGATCAATAATTTCTGGAGATCTACAGCCTAGTGCCTACAGTTCACAATACTGTGGATACTCTATTTGCTAAGGCGGTAGACCTTACGTGAGCGTCCGTAGAGAACACATGCACACACACACGTACACGCACACACACGCACATGCACACACCACGGCTAATGAAAAAGAGGGTGAGAGGAGACCTTGGGAGATGATAGATGTGTTGAAGGCCTGGACAGTCGTGACGGTTTCACATTTACGACAATTCCGAAATATACCGAGTTGCTACACTGCACATGTGCAGCTTTTTATGTGTTCATCATACGTGTGCAATCAACAGACATATAACGTGCCTTATACCTTAGAAGACAAACACACATTTTATTCATGTGAGCGACACAGCCCTTCCCACCTAGAACACAAAGTACACTTCTCCCTGTCGCCCCCGGCACTGCAGTAGCTCACGACCCCTGCACATCACACTCCTTCGTCCCTTAAGTTTGTGTCTGTGCTGTTGGCGTTGGGTTTTTGTCCCATCCCATCTGTCTGGAGAGCTTCTGCTGGTCCTTTAAGACTGAGCCCAGATGTTAACTGGGCTACTCACCCACTCAGTTCCAGCTGTCTGTAACCGCTGGCCGTCCTTCTGTCTTCCCTGTATCTGGGAAGAGCATGTCCACTCTGGTTGTCCTGTGGCGGCCACTATAGCAAGCCAGATATGGTACTAAGTCGGGCTATACTGGTCGGTATTTGCCTCTCTAGGGCCTAGTGCAGTACCTGGCAGGATCGGTTCCCAATAAAACTCTCCTAAATGAATGGGTGGGCCAAACACACAAAAGCCATCTGTTTTGTTACAAAATGTGCTCAGCTGAGTTCATACATCCGAATGCAGAGACCAAAGCCCCCAGCATGACTGCACTCAGGAAGCCCAGCACGCTAAAAGGGGCGAACGATTCTCCCTTTCCTCTTCCCTCCTTCTCTAAGTATTAAGGCCATCTCTCTCCATATCTCTCTCTCTCTCTCTCTCTCTCTCTCTCTCTTTCTTTTTGGAGAGGTTTTTGCTGTAGGGTGCGTGCACTCTCCAGAAAGACAGAAAGAGACAGAAAGATAGAAAGCAAGAAATCACTCCCCAGGGGGGATGGCCACGCCGCAATCCCTTCTCCTCCATTCTCCTCTCGGGATCTTGGGCACGCACGCACACGCGCCCGGTGTGAATTTAAGCCACCAGGTCCGGGACTCAAACCACAGCTGACTACATGGGAGTCCAGCGACATAGCCATTATGCCAACTGCTGGTCCCCAGGCCATCTTTCTTCATCCACAAACATAAACACAAAAATGTAGAAGGCCTAGATACCTGGCACTGCTATTCTCAAAAGTGACCTCCAAGAGCGTTCACGGTGAAATGCTGGTGAGCAACACGACCTGGCGGGAAGAAGCCTCGACGGGCTCCAGGCTACGGCAGTGCTGTGTGGCCTTTACAGGCAGGGTGGCCCCGCCTCTGCACGTGACGTCCGAGCCTGAGGTCCTCATTTGGAAGGTGGAAATAATGCTCCCTGTCCCGCGTGGAACCAAGGGATGTGAGCACCATGAGAGGGTCCTTTAGAAAGCGGGAAATGCACGGAGCATGTGGGCTACGGAGCGCGCGGTTATCCACTCACCAAACACAGTCCTTGCAGGCACGGACTCCCGGTTGAGCCAGAATGACACTTGGGAGAGAATGACAGTCATGATGCAGGGCAGGTATGTCTGAATCACAAAGTACCCGATTTTTCTTTTCAAGTGGAAATGAGCTGTCATCACTGTATATTCACCTGGAAGATGTGAAGGAGATTAAGGAACTGCAGTAGTGAACAGGTGGAACATTTTGGAAATGAAAGAGATGAAGTAAAACAGATCCTGGTTTTCCAAAATATAAAATTCATTACATTTGTCAACAAGCCTGTGTCACCTGTAAGTGCCTAATTAGTAAAGCACAAGTATTTTTAATAAAAGATATCTTTAATACTGCTCAGAAACCTGCAGGGCCTGTGCTGAGACACGGTACTGGGTATTCTCTCCAGGTGGAACCGACTGACTGATCACAGACTCGTGGAACTGGCATGGGCTCCCTGCTAGCAGATTTTCTTACTTGCTCAGGTCCCCCTCCGAGTGGTCCGAACCCAGAGTCCCTGCTCTGTTCTAACTCAGTGTGCTCTGACTCTGTGGCGTGTTCATCCCTGGTCACATGGTCACATCCCCAACGCTCGTCTTCTGGCCCCGAGCAGTCACTTGACCCCATCACCTCTGGCTTTCTCACTGTCCTCTGCCCTCCTGGCTTCGGTGGGTGCTGCCTGATTCTCATCTCCACCTTGCTTTCTGTACCCTAATTTTATTTATTTATTTATTTTTAAAAGAATTATTTATTTAATTTTATTTATTCATTCATTTCATTTTTTTTTAATTTGACCAGAAAGACAGAGAGAGAGAAAGAGAAAGTGAGAAAGCAAGCCACCAGGTCCAAGACTCGAACCATGGTCAGCCATGTGGGAGTCCAGGGCCCCCATCCACCATGCCACCCGCCAGCTCCCTATACCCTAATTTTAACTATGCCACAGGAGAGTAATGAGTCCGCAAAGCTGCTGTTTTCTTAGATAAAGGTGGCCCTTAGCGGGGGACTCAGCTTTCCACACCGGTCAGTAGTAATTATCCAGCAACCAGGACCTGAACTCTCATAAAGTAACTAGATCATCGAGAAAAGAGTGAGAAAACTGGGGAACGTACTTGTTTGAGGGTAAATGTTAAAACTGACTGGTTGGAGCCAGCAGGCAGTGTGGTGGTTAAGGTGCTGGACCCTCACACGGCCGACCATGGTTTGAGTCCTGGACCTGGCAGCTGTGTGAGTGCTCAAAATCCCAGGAGGAGAACGGAGGAGAAGGGATTGTGGCCTGGCCATATTCTGGACCAGGGGAAAGGGAGATGATGTCTCACGTTCCCTCTGTCTCTGTGTCTCCAGCAAGCGCACGCGCCCTATGGCAAAAACCTCAAAAAGCAACAAAAAACTAACTGGTCTGAACACACACACACTTATTATGTAGTTAATATGTAGTATATTTTAGGCCAGTGTTTCTCAGACTTTTTGGACTCTTGTTAAAAGGCAGATCCTAATTTAGCACAGACAGAGACAAAGACCCAGTGTCTATAAAGTCTGCAAACATAGTCAGCCACCGGTTCGTGGATCACAAGAGTGAAAGCTTTTCAGCGATCCGGTACTGCCCCGGTGACGTGAACCCATTCAGTTCCTTAGGCTCACGTTACTAACCTGTGCTGGATTTAATTGTCTCCTTCCCAATTGACTGGCCCAGTAGATCGTACTGATTTAACCTGGAGCCATCGGGGGCAACCTGTACTGAGTCAGATGCGTTGTAAGTCCAAATGTACGTGACCTCGGAGGTGGTATACGCATCTGCAGGAAATCAGAAAATAATATTTCAAGCACTTTCATAAGAACCATCAATAAAGTACAACACCAAAGGTCATGCATTTCACAGAACTATTGTTTATTTAAAATAATAATAATAATAATAGGGGCCAGCTAGTGCCATGGTGGTGAGGGCAGCTGGATCCCACGTGACCAAGTAACGGTGTGGAAACAGTGTGTGCCTAAAAACCCTAAGAGGAGGGGACCTGTAGATGGCGTAATGGTTACGTTTCTGGACTTCCATGTAGTCGGACTTGGTTTGAGTCCTGGACCTGGTAGCTTAAAATATGCCAGTGCATGTGTGTGCATGCCCAAACTCCTGAGAGAAGGGACTACGGCGTGGCTAACCCCCCTGGAGGATGATTTCTGACTTTCTGTCTCTCTGTTTCTATTTGTCTCTCCGGTGAGCACACGTGCCCTATAGCAAAAATCTCTCTTAAACACAAACAAACAAGCAAAGAGGAAAATGGAGGAAAAGGGATTGTAGTGTAGCCACCTCCCCCAGGGGGTTGCTCTCTCACTTTTCCTCTCACTATCTTTCTCAAGTGGTGCAAGTTCCCTGTAGCAAAATTAATTAATTCGTTAAAAAATAAATAAATACAATATTTAAAGATCATGCTTTTTTAGGGGGAAAAATGTGTTATTTCGACTTACTTCAATATGAAGGGCATGGAGCAGACCAATCGGCAATCATGACAATGGAAGTCTTTTCACTTGAACACTTTGAGACGTGTAAATTTCTCTTTAGAGACTACAGAAATCACGGGGCCCTGAGGTGCTACGACCTCCTTAGTCTTAGGTATCCGATAAAGACATGAAGGTGAACAGTTAAGGATGCCCCAAGTCCAGTGAGACAATTTATTTAGAGATAACCATCACCCACGAAAGAAAAATCATAATCCAAATTAGATTGCTTCCTGCCACATTAAAGGACCCTCGCTGGAGTTAAACGACTTAGCTATGATGAAACAGCGCACTTCACTAGAACAATGAGAACGAATTACTGCAGAACATGTCAAATCAATCAGAATGCTATAGTTCCATTAAATTTCAAACTGTTATGTTATAAATTCATTTTTAAATTAGTTCATGCACACGGACATCACTGGACCTCACTTTTCTAGCACCCCGGGGGGTTGGGGACTGGCAGGAAGAGGTAAAGAATACACATGAACACCCTGAGATTTGGCCGAGGATGCAGAGCTGAGCAGGAACGAGGCACCCCGAGCCACGGCGAGGTGACATATCTGGACTTAACCCTTCTCTGGCCCTGGCTTCCCGGTGCCCGTGTTACATCCTGCAGGGGAATAGCTGACCTCCCCACGAGGGCAGCATCTTCCTGCTCCTGAGTATCGGATAACCTTTTCTGAATCACTGACTGACTGGAGAACCTCCGTGCACCTTCTCAATATTCACGGGAATGTTTACAAATGTGATTTACTCCAGCCCTTGAGCCAAGCTCAGCATCGCCGTCACGGCAGGCTGAGTGGAGGGGACCACATGCGATCTCATTCCTCTCCCGTCTGTAAGTTCTCTGTCTTCAGAGCCCCGTGCTGTGGTGGCCCACGTACTGAGCGGTCCCAGGTCTGTGATCACAAGACAATTGTCACTCGAGCACCAGGAACAACAGAGCGAATGTTTATGCACTTGTGCCTTCACAGTATGGCCTTGTGCCGACTCCCGGCGGTGTTCTTTGGTTTTCTGAACGTCACTGCTAAGTATTTCCATCGCAGAATACTCTCTCTACTGTACATGTTCCAGCTACTTCTACGAGTAAATTACATTATGTGAAACAAGTTTTGAGATATGTTGTGAATACGGGTAGTCAGAAAAGTCATGATGCATTTTTGCACAGAAAAAGAAGTCACAACTTTTTCGACCACCCAATATATATATACACACATGTGTATTTATATGTTTAACAGCTGAGGAATATTAATATTATGTTTGCATACAAATTCATGGTAGTCGAAAGTCTAAATTTTACATTAATTAATTTCAAGAACTTAATTATGGTTCTCCTGAGATTAATAACAGCAGTTATATCACTGGCAACACTTTTGACTTTTTCTAAAATAAGTATATTTATATCATTTTTGAAATTTGATGTTAAGTTTGAAAATAAATAGGCAAATAAAACCCTACAAAAGTGATGACTTTTTTGTTTTGTTTTGTTTTCTTTTAGTTTTTGCTATAAGGTATGTGCACTCACCAGAGACAGAGAGAGAAAGAGAAAGGGAGGGACCAGCAGTTAGTGTAATGCCTACGTCGCTGGACTCCCACGTAGTCGACTGCGGTTCGTGTCCCGGACCCAGTGGCTTAAAATTCACACTAAGCGCGTGTGCGTGCGTGCCCAAGATCCCGAGAGGAGAATGGAGAGGGGACTGCGGTGTGGCCATCCCCCCTGGGGGGTGATTTCTCGCTTTCTCTCTCTCTGTCTCTCTCTGTCTGGTGAGCGCACGTGCCCTATATCAAAAACCTCTCCAAAAAAAGAAAAAAAAAATCCCACCTCTAAATTAGGTCAACATGAAATAATTTTATTTAATTTTGTCAAATAACCCATTTTGGGGACCAGCAGTTAGTGTAATGGCTATGTCGCTGGACTCCCATGTAGTCGACCGCGGTTTGAGTCCCAGACCCGGTGGCTTACAACTCACGCCGGGCGCGTGTGCGTGCGTGCCCAAGATCCTGAGAGGAGAATGGAGGAGAAGGGATTGCGGTGTGGCCATCCCCCCTGGGGGGTGATTTCTCGCTTTCTGTCTCTCTGTCTGTCTCTGTCTGGTGAGCGCACGTGCCCTATATCAAAAACCTCTCCAAAAAAAAAAAAAAAATGAAAAAAAAAAAAGCCTGGTTAGTCCTGTTGGTCTCCTCCAGCGGTGCCTGCACTTTAACCCCGGGCATCAAGCCTGTGCTACAGGCAAGACTAAACGAGGAATATACAAGTGGTCAGTCAGCAGGTGGGGAAACAAAGGTAACCACAGCAAAGTAACCAGTAGCTGCTTTAACAGACCGCGAAGATACACTGTGCTGCTGTATCACCTCTGGACACAGAGAACCACAGTCTTTGCAAATGCAGTCAGGACCTTTAAACATTCATTTAAAATGTTCAAGTACATTTCTTTCTTTTTTGTTTCTATTTTTTAATGTAAATTAATGTATTTACATTCATTCACTGTCCGTCCTTACAGCATACAGAGTGAGACTTTCTGCCCAGAGTACACTGTATACTGGCTCAGTCAAGCACATCAACATCCGTGTTATCATCAACAAATAGTTTTCCATTTCTCGTTTCCTGTATACTTTTTTGTTTTTTCGCCATCCTTAATTCCCTATCTCTCACCCTCTGCCCTGTCCCAAAGCATATTTATTTCATTTTGGAACTGAGACAACACATTATTTATATCTGATGTCTTTTCTTAAAAAAAGATTTATTTATTTAGATTTGTTATTATTATTATTATTATATTATATTCTTTAATTTGGCCAAAGAGAGAGAGAGAGAGAGCGAAAGAGAAGATAAGGTGAGAAAGTAAGCTACCAGGTCTGGGACTCGAACTGCAGTTGGCCATGTGGGAGTCCAGCGTCTTAACCATCACACCACCTGCTGGCCCCTACAGCTAATGTCTTAAGGACAATATCTTGTCCACTAAAGAATACATGCCTTTCCCTCTTACACCATTACCGCGTCTCATATAAACCCTGTTTGGTACCAAGGGTTCCAGAGTCCTCCTTAACGCCACTTACGCAATGCAAGTAAGTTTTCCTCTGCTGCACCTGCTGTGGCTCTCCCAGCTCCACATTTACTTCTGTGACATGACTGACTATCTTAAATTATGCCGGAAGACACGCCAGTATTGAAGTGATGGTTTCCATGACAATAAGAGAAGGCTTTGTGGTTAAACAAAGAGGAGATTCTCAAAGGAAATGGAGAGCTGACACCTTTTGTAAGAATACAGGCAACACACAAGATGGAACTTCTCGTTTCCACAAAACTGTGGTCGTGGAAATAATGAGAGGGTTGTGTCTTTGTCTCAGCCACCGTTCTTCCCTCTCCTCTCCCGGATACACACTGCTCGGCCACACCTTAGAACACTGCATTTCCCTCCGACACAGAGCCAACAGTCAAAAAAGCTGCCCAAAAGGGCTGAAGAAGGGAATTCCAGGGAGAGCAGTTTCTGACCAGGCCGGGTGATGGCCTGTGAGGAGGCCTGCAGAGCTGTGGTCCAAACTCATCTCAGTCTGCTGGACGGCTGCGTGATCTGACCTTCCCCTCTCCCGCTGTCCCGAGAGGGCGAAAGCTTCTGCAGGACAAACGAGGTGGGACCCCACGACCCGAAGCACGGCCAGAGGCACAGAGCTTTCTCAGAATGCTGCACGTGCGAGGGAAGGGCCTGCTCGCAGAAACCCAGCTCCTCAAGTTTATTTTAGGAAATTAGAAAAACAACCCTTCCATTAGCTAGACAATCTCGCAGACGCAGCTTCTGTGCCTGGCAGTTGCAACAGGCAGATTGCTGCTTTAGTAAACAAGAGGATGTATCACGTACACTTCATTCTTTTCTATTTTTTTTTTAAGGTTCTTGTCATAGGGTGTGTGTGTGCCTCGGAGAGAAACAGAGACAGAGAAGGAAAGTGAGAAATTACCCCTCGGGGGCATAGCCATGCCATAATCCTTTCCAATCCCTTCTCCTCCACTCTCCTCTTGTGGTTTTGGGCACACACGTACATGAACCCAGAGTGATTTCCAAGCTGCCAGGTCCTGGACTCAAATTGCAGTCAACCATGTGAGAGTCCAGCACTGGAACAACCTTGCCACCTGCTGGTCCCACAATTCATTCTTAATTGATGAGAAAGAAACATTTTTTCTGCATTTTTAATCTTTTAAGGCTTGGAAAGAAAAGTCAATTGCAGTCCTGACCTTCAAAGGACTCCTGGTCGTGTTTTAGAGTGTTCTAAAACGCCTGGTGTTCTTCGTTAACACTAACATAAAGGAGGGTCTCAGCTCTGTGATACCTGTGCACACCATCGGGCTGGCAGTGTCTGGAGGGCGCCCAGCACGCCTCCTGCCTCTGTGTCTTACTGGCCACCTGTCAGCGGGGCAGTGCGGGGTAGATCCCTGATAATGACCCCAAGGTACTTTCACCCCTGTACTTACAGCTGCCAAATTTCAGAGGACATGAGTGGGCATCCATTGGAAAATCCTCCAAGTGCATTGGACATTCAGCCTGCACCGTAAGCCTGGAAGTCAAAAGTCCACTGTTTGTTTAAGTAAATTGGCAAGACAAGAAAAACCGCTTATCACTGTTGTCAACAGAACGATAGATGGGGCAGGACCTTCATTACGGCATTGTGTGAGGTTGATTCACATTTACATGTGTTTTTTCCTTCATGCTTAGAGGTGATCTGTTAGAAGACATTGGCATATGCAAAATCTGAGAATAAATATTAATATTTTAAAATAAATGTAGTCATTTCACACTCGGCCATTTGGTAAGAAGTAATTATGTCGTTTTGATGGGCTATTTTCCCACTAACCTCACTATTAATATGTGAAATAGCAAAAGAAAAGAAAGAAAAAATAGTTATCATAAAAAGAATGCCATTTCCCCACCTTCTCATCAGCAAAGTTGATGTCAGAGTTCAATACTGGCTCAGAAGAGCGCCTTCGAAAATATGTAAACTGCGAATGAGTATCACACACTATATAGATATAAAGAGGTTATCAATATAAAATAGATATCAATACACATATGGATGTGTCTCCTACAAATATTTTGCTGACTCTAAATTGTTGGCTAATTTATAGACACAAATTATGAATGTTAAATCATTTTTTTCTCTACCTACATAGCCACAAAATAAAATAACCATAGAAAATACGTTATGAAGAAAGCTTGGGGACCAGCAGTTAGCGTAATGGCTATGTCACTGGACTCCCATGTAGTCGACCGCGGTTTGAGTCCCGGACCCAGTGGTTTAAACTCATGCCAGGCGCGTGTGCGTGCGTGCCCAAGATCCCAAGAGGAGAATGGAGGAGAAGGGATTGCGGCGCGGCCGTCCCCCCTGGGGGGTGATTTCTCGCTTTCTGTCTGTCTCTCTCGCTGTCTGTCTGGCGAGTGCACACGCCCTCTAGCGAGAACCTCTCCAAAAAAAAAAAAAAAGAAAGTTTGCAATGATTCCATTTTATATATGGGCAAAGTGGGTAAGGCAGGTACTAAATGAGACACAGGAGAGTCTGTCATAAGGAGCAAAGCAGATTTGGCCAACAATTTATTTTGGCTTATGTCTTTCTAGGAGAGTAAACAGAACCCTATGAAATATTTGCTAAAACTCAGTAGGTTCTATAGCAATATTTTTTTTAGATCTTAAACTTGCAATCGTTGCCTCGATCCAGAGGAACGACCTAATGAAGTCTACGGGCACTGCATGTAGCCACGTCATGAGAGGCCGAGGCAGCAAGAACAGCCAGCATTTCCCCCGTGGGCAACCGTGGGCAATGGCCACCCAGAAATGAGTTCTTGGGAGTTTCTTGCTTAGAGACCAGAAATAGCGCTGGCCTGTCTGAAATCTGACCCTGCAGGTTTCATGCACAACGACACTTGACATGCAGGAATATACCTGACGGTAATGCTGATGAGACCTACCCGAGCTTTAAATCCTCTATCGAACAACTGAACTTTCCATTCTACATCATGGGACTAGATCTGGAGGGTTTTATTTTTCTTTTCTTTTTTTTAAAAAATTATTTATTTAATTTATTTTATCATTATTAGTTTTCAATTCACCAGAGAGACAGAGGGGGAGAGAGAGAGAAAGTGAGAAAGCAAGTTGCCAGGTCTGGGACTTGAACCACAGTCGACCATGTGGGAATCCAGCACCCGAACCATCATGCCACCTGCTGGCCCCAGGGTTTTATTTTTCTTAAATAACGTGAGTAGCATTTTGAAATATTAAGGCATGACAATGGTTGTTAGGATCAACAGCTGTTTATTCCTTTTGATAAATTCGTTAAACTTCTGAATCATATAATTGTGACGCTTTCTGATGTACAATATTGGCTTCATGTAGTTTAACCTAATACATATGTTTATGATATCAATTTTATTTATAAACCTTATTAAATAAAAACTCTCCAAAGTTTTTTTTAAAAAAGCTTTTCTTCTGTAGAATAACTTCACAAGACAGGTCAGAATATTAAATTAAGCACAACCTTGCTGAGAAATTACTTCGAAATGTGATTGTGGGACCAGCAGATGGTGATGGTGTAATAGTTATGTTGTTGGACTCCCACATAGTCGACCAAGGTTCAAGTCCCAGACGAAGTGGCTTAAAACTCACATTGGACACGTGTGTGTGTGTGTGTGTGTGTGTGTGTACAAAATCTCCAGAGGAAAATGGATTGCTATGTGGCCATCACCCCTGGCAGGGGTGGAGGAGGGTGTGTGTGTGTGTGATATTTTGCTTCTTCTTGTCTTTCTAGTGAGCACACATACCCTATAGCAAAAATCTCTCAAAAAAAAAAAAGTGATGGTATATGTAATAGAATTTTTTGAGATTTTTGCCTTAGGGCATTTGCACATGCTTGAGAGAGAGACAGACAGAAGGAAAGTGAGAAATCACCCCAGGGGGATGGCCATGCGTCATCCCTTCTCCTCCATTCTCCTCCCAGGATCTTGGGCACAAACGCACACACGCCCAACATGATTTTCAAGTCGCCAAATCCAGGACTCAAACCACAGTTGACCGTGTGGACATCCAGCTATGCAACCACTACACTCTCAGCTGGCCCTATCATAGGATACTGAAAATAAAATTATATGCTAGTTTAAGTAAGTTTCAAATAATGATATATATGTATGTAACTAAAATGTAGTATGAAGAAAAAAAAAAAAAAAAAACTCTACCAGAATTCAGAACTCACTGTACATCAGAGAACTCCCATGACAGAAAATCCTTTGTAATGTAAAAAGTGTTATAAATCCTTGAACCATAATTCAGAAATAAGAGTTCATTTCAGCTGCTTTAATTCAGCATGCCACAGTAGTTAATGAGGTATCAGAAAACGTGGTGATGGCGTTTATACCTCTGACAAGGGGACAGTACAGGAGCTGATGAATAAGGTCAAAACTTTTCCAGCTACAAAGCAAAATGCCAGGCTTTTTTCTAAGACCTATGTGTAATGTTTGAAAGATGCATCAAAAGATAACCTTTGAATGAAAAAATTAAATGTAGGAATGAAAAAACTTCTCAATCATTAATGCAATTCTTAAGTTTTAAGCAAAAAAAAAAAAAAACAGAGAATCAAATTCATAACTACTACTTTATCTTTTTCCAATATCTGCAAATTTACAAGACATTTTATGGGTACTTAAATCATCTTTGAGGGAAGTGTGCACCCCCTGCTCTTAGCTTGCAGGGCATGGTGGGCAGCATACTAGCGGGTTCCCGGGATCGAACTCAGAACTGGCACCCCGCAGCGTACCTCATGGTGTACAGGAGGGTCCCGTCGTCCTGGATTCGAAGCAGCTTGTTCGGCATCGTCATATTATGAGCTACAGATTTTTTCCCATTGTGAAAGAAGGTATCTGGAGTCCAGATTTTGCTAGCCATTAAATTATTAAGTCGAAGGATATTCATAGGACCTTTAAATTTTAAGCGTTCATCTTTCCATTTTTGTCGAAAGAAAACATCTATTGTATATTCCTGAAATATAAAACAGTGTTTCTTTGAAAATAATAAACATTTCAGACACAACAAGGACACTGTAAAATTCCAGCAAAAAATAATCTAAGTCATTTGGAGAGAGCTGTATCCGAAAGACCGTCCCTTTAGCTTATGGATAGACATTGCCACTAGGCAGGGACAAGGTGTGTGTATCTGCACCACGAGCGATGCGTGCTCATGACAAGACAAGACAAGTTTACTTCATCAGGCCTCTTTCAGTTGAGCACGGTCCCAGTCAAACCGCCTTATTGCACCCTGCGGTGTAGACCTGTCTGGGGAGGGGCTGTGCGTGGGTGAGGTCTGGGAGGATGGTTACAAGTGGCTTATTTACCCCGAGAGAAAGTGGGCAGGCAGCCTTCCTCATAGAAAACAAACAAATGAATAAATGATTACAAAAGAAAAAGAAGAAAAACAACTTTGAAGAGCACTGTTGAGCTGTGTGAGTCATCGTCTCTGGTTGCCAAAGAAACCGCAGAATATCCTATTTCTTTTTTTTTTAATCCTAAAATAAATGGTGCGTGTTTTTTTTTTTGCATATTATTAGCAAGACTGTGCTTGGGGATAATGACTGCAATAAAGACTATTCGTAAAATTAGTTGTAATACAAGGATTTCAACAAGTTAATAGAACAACATGAACAAGGTAATACACAGACATCCTGCAAATCAGCTCCCTCAGGTTAGCATGTACTTCAGAACATGCACACGGACTGGTCCGGGTTCGATTCGATCCCTCTCTGATCACCCCCCATGACTTAATTAGCAGAAGCCCTCCTCCTTCCCTCGTTTTCTTTCTCTTCCTTAGAAGAACGTATACATTTTAGATGAACTATCACATGAACTGACAATCTGTTACATATGAAAATTTGTGCCTGCATATGTTCGTGCAAACACGTACACTATCAATCATTTGCATGTTCAGTTACACACCCGAGATTGAAAATGCAGAAACGGACCTTTGAGCACACACACACAAGTCATCATGGGTGAAAACAGACACCTCAGCAAGTAGTAATTTCACTAAACTAAAATTATGTTTTGGGGAAAAAAAGATTAAAAGGGACACATATTTATGAACATTAAAAAATATATGTATAAATCTGAATCAAGCAAATGATTTCCAAGGGCCCCTCAGGGTTAGACCGGGCAACAAGAACACGTGCCAATTGCCGGAAATGACACAGGGAGGGAGGAGCAGCAGTTCAGCGCTGTCTCCTAACCTTCATCTACGCTCGCTCTCTGGGGTTTAATTTTTTTTTTAATTCCATCAAGATAGGTCTAAAAAAAGCCCCCTATGAACTGGATGAAGCGGTGAGTCTTTGCACAGATTTCTTTTCTTTTAAAAAAAGGTTCTTTATTTGAGAAATTTTTGCTATAGGGCGTGTGCACTCATCAGAGAGACAGAGAGACAGAAAGAGAGAAACCCCTTCTCCTCCATTCTCTTCTCGGGATTTTGGACACTCATGCACACGTGCCAACGTGAGTTTCAAGCTGTCAGGACCGGGAATAGAACCAGAGTTGACCATATGAGAATCCAGCTCCTTAACCATCATGCCATCTGCTGGCCCCTCTTGCTTTCTTTCATGAATGAGAGGTATGAAAAAGAGAAAAAGAAGAACCTACAACTTTTTTCTCACGGCACGACCCACCCTCATCCTCAGCCAGCTTACACCATGGAATGAATGTGTCCAGCAGAGAGGTCTCTGGACACGGATGCAGGACGCTCCCACGGGGGTCAGCCTTGCAGACAGGCATGTCACCCGCAGTGCACCGTCAGACCCCTGTGATAAGTCTTTATGCAAATGTTTCTTCAAACTGTGGTCCCCCGAATTTCATCAGTTTAAATGCATATGACATTTACTTCCCAGAGAGACTGAATGCATTTAAAAACTCTAGGGCCCAGTGGTATTTGGGACAGCCGGATCCCACATGGCTGACTGTTCAGTTCAGCCCTAGACCTAGCAATCTGGAGCATGCCAGGTATGTGTGTGTGTGTGTGTGTGTGTGTGTGTGTGTGTGCAGGTGCGTGTGTTTGTCCAAAATATCAAGAGAATAGAGAAGAGAATGCATTGTCATGATCCCCCCGCAGAATGATTTCTCACATTCCCTTTCTCTGTCTCTGTCCCTCTCATGTGAGTGCATATGCCCTATAGCAAAATTAAACAAAACAAAACAAAAACTTCAGGTTTTTCCATTTTCCTATTAGACTGGGGTATGATGATGCGTTTCAGAAGCTACTGACACGGCGATCACAAATGGAATGTCTCGGGCAATCCTTCTTTAAAGTTGTGTCTAGAACACTGCTGGCCTTGGAGCAGGCAGAGGCCCCACGTGTGCCCTGCCCACTCCCCACATGACCTGGGCCTCCTTCTCCCACCCCCACCCGGCAAACTGCGGTTATGGTCTGGGTGATTTTAACCACCCTACTCCCTGCTCCTCCTCACGTCGGGCAAGTTCTCTACCTGGGTGGAGAACGCCGCTCACAAGACAGCTTTGCTCGCACACCTGGGAAAACGTAGTCAGTGTTGTTCGTACCTTGACCAAACTCCCCATTACGGCAAGGTCATCGGTGACAAATGTGTGTTCGTTCTTCTGCCTCCCCACTATGGAACAGATGGCACATCTCCAAGAAAAGGGAACATGCCTTCACTTGTGTTTTTGCTGTTGTTGTTCAGATGTATAAATAAACATAAAGAATACTAGAACCACCTTGCAGAAATGTCATCACAGATGATACGAAGCCACCCTTTTTCTATCTAGCCCTCCCCTAACACAGTCCCCTACTCCCTGAGAAAATTATCTTGAATTTAGTGCTTATCCTTCCATGCATATACTCACACACTTTATAAATAGAAATTGTGTGCTACATTTTAAACATTTATACAAATGTTACCATACTGCGTATTTTGACACTTGCATTTTTCAGTTACTTACTGAGGTTTACCCAGGCCCCTAAATCTAGCACTTTAATTCATTTTCACTGCTCCAGAGCATTGCATCAGAAGACTGGCTCACAGTCCAGTCACCCTTACTCTGGTTCTGAAATACTTTTGCTATTTCCGACTTGTCTCTGTCCCAAGTACTGATACCATGGACAGTGCTGGTCAGCATTTGAGTACACAGGTAGGATACGCTAGACGGGAGATCAGCAAACCTTTTCCACTAAGGGCTGGTCAGTGACCTCTCGGGATCTGGAGTCACATGGTCAGTGTCACAACTACTCAGTTCTCTGCGGCAGTGACAGCGACCAAAAACAACTCTCAAGTGACTGGCAGCTGGGGTCCAATGCAGCTTTGTTTGCAGTGGGAGGTGGTCGAAGGGGTTTGGCCCAGATGTCACCACGTGCTAACCACCTTTTTCTTTTGTTTGCGTGTTTGTTTGTTTTGAGAGGTTTTTGCTATAGGGCGCATGTGCTTGCTAGAAAGACAGAGAGAGACAGAGGGTCAGAAAGCGAGAAATCGCCCCCCAGGGAGGATGGCCATGCCACAATCCCTTCTCCTCCATTTTCCTCTTGGGATCTTGGGTACGCACGTGCACACACCTGGAGTGAGTTTAAGCCAACAGGTCCAGGATTTGAACTATAGTCAACTACATGTGAGTCCAGCGACATAGACAATTACACCAACTGCTGGTCCCAACCACCGTTCTAAACTAAATCTACAAGTGGGATTACTGAGATACGTTGCATCTGCATCTTTAAATAACAAGCCATTGTAAAATTAAAGTCCTGGGAGGTGTGTGAGCTGATGTTCTTGCTAGAGGTGTAGGAGCCTGCTGTTTCTGTACCACCTGGAGTAGACAGGAGGCTCCGTCTGAGTCCTGATCAGTGTGAAACGGTGCGCAATGCTACCACAGGCATTTCTCTGTTCACTGGAGTAATGGGACATGTTTTCGTGTGTTCAGTACAAATTCTTGTTTTCTTTTCAATGACTCATCTGCTTACTCAGTTTCCTTTTCAGTTATCTATTTTTTCTTACTGAGTTACGAAATTTTTATGTATATTCTATTCTAACACTTCCCAAAATAATACACCATTCAGTAATATATCTTTAAGTAATAAATATATTAAAGATATCTGAACCACCATGAGTGTATCCCGGCACATTGCTCCCAAGGATGGAGAAGTTCTGCTTTTTCACCTTGGGGCCTCTCATCCGCCTGGGATCACTGTGTGTGATCTGAAATCAAGGTCCACTCCCCCAGATGGAGAGCCCGCTCCTCCAGCACCGTTATCGACCGGCCTGTCTATGCAATGGCGTGCTCTCACAGACCAGCTTTCGTACCGGATAGGTCGGTTTCTGAGTCCTGCGTTGTGCCATTATTTGACTATCCCTGCATCGATTAGAAAGTCACGATTACGATAGTCGTATAATAAACTTGTGTTCCTAGTATTTTCATCACTGTCCAGTTCACATTTCATAACCCCACTGTGGCTTCTCCTTTCCCTTACCTAGGAGGCAGTGGAATGATGTTTAGAGGTCCAAATGCATTGTGCTCTTTTGTTATATTTTTAGCACTGTCATTTACTTTTACTACAGTTGTAATAAGAGACTGTGGTCAATAAGATACTGATTCTTTACAACTTGTTGAGAATTTCTTAAGCGTTTTGTTGCTGCTCGTCATTCACTCAGAAGGCATGAGGCCGGGGGTCGGCTGGATTCACTTGGCTCATGACCTGGCCGGACGCGCTCACACCTGTGGGCACTGGCCCCCAGCCGATCTAGGATGCCATGTGTGGGTCACTGGGGTGCCTCACCTGCACTTCGATCATCTTTGTCCCTCCTCCAGGGACTACTGGGCTAACCTGGGCTTGTCTCCTCATCGCAGTGACAGGAACCCAAGACTAAGCTCCAGAGCAAAAGCCTCTTATAAGCCATTGTTAATGGACTGTGGGTTTTTTTAAATTATTTATTTAATTTATTATTATTATTTTAAAATTTTTGCTATAGGACATGTGCACTCACCAGATAGAGATTGGGG